GGACAAAATCCTGGTTCCGCCACTAACTAAAAGATTTAAAATGAGTGATTATTTATATATTGAGGGTGCGAGTATGGACGTGGGTATCGGTGCGAATTTATACTTGTTCTTACTTGTACGTACGCCTACACCCACCCATGCTAACACCCTCCTGCAAACGCTTTATGAAAATAAGAAGTCTACAATAAGAGGAACATTTAGTGGCCGAACAAACGCTTAAAAAGACCAAGTTTCTTTGCTCGCTTATCGACCATGGCGCTGACTGAATCACCAAATGGAATGAAGAGTACAGCATTGATATCAACATTAGTCGGGTCTATGACACGCCACTCAATCCTTCTGAGGTCCTCACCAGCATGTGCTTTGTAGCTCGAAACAGTAGAAGGGAAGATAGTATATCCATTTTCTTTCACGCTGCATTCGAGAATTGGCAAAAATTTTCGATCGCCCCATGTAAATGGTTTTGCATAAACTAAGTGCGAACAGTAATGAACACTTGGACTTAAAAAAATAGCATCAGCAAAATCATCCACGCCAAAACCTTTTCGTCCTCTAGGAATATGATTTGGTGGAGGTAAGATACGCATTCCAGTGGAAACAACTGTGCCTGGTACGACGAATCCATCAACTAGAATTGAATGTACCACTTCAATTCTTGTTCCATGATAAGCTACGTGAGGAAAGTTTACCGAGTCACGATGCCGAATATTGAGAGCTTTACATGAAACTGGATGTTGACGATCGATTACACAGTTTATGGGTGAACCCATAATGAACATATCGGGTGGTAAAATAAGGTACTTCGGTATGATTTCAATGTGACGCACAAAGGCATGCGTGCCTTCAATCATTGGCAGTCGTTGTTGATTTGTCTCAAATGAGTACCAGACCCCTATTGAAGCTAAAGTATATAAACGAGCATGAGGTTCACCAACAAAGAAAACTGTGGGTTGTTGGATCAATTTTTCGCCTTCTTCTAAATACGTTGTAAACAAGCAGAGACATTGAGTTAAATGACAGAGATCTGTCTTCGGAGAAAAATCTACTTGAACGACAAACGTTAGGTTTTTGTCAATACAACCAGTTGGAAAAGTGAATTCCAATTCTTTGAATTGAAATTTTCGTTCTTGCTCCATCGGTATTGTCAATGTAAACTTTGCGACATTAGTTTTAGAATTAGACGATACAATATGTTGCTTAACTTGCCGTGGATTTATTGTGCTCTTAAAAGTTGTTATATTTTTGAATTCTATGTCTGATATAGTTGCCGTCTGATGCAAGGCTAAATGAAGTGGAACACTAAGGAAATGTGTTCGAGTATAACGTGCATGATGTACGGCTAGGAGTAGGCCTGTTGACCACTGGTCTGAAGGTAGCACATGTCGAGCAATGGAAAAGTGGCGGCATCTTTCACGCCACTCACCAGTTAATAATTCTCGAAGATGATTTTGTGTTTGATCAACGTCAAGTTCAACTTTAATGAAAGGTTCTTGATCGGAACTTTCGTCATCATAGACATGGACAGAAATCGATTTCATCGAAGTCAGGTTATTACGATATCGAAGAACTAACTCTCTCACTTTATTCCATCGAGATTCGTCCACATCACTATGCCTGCCTTCTTCCAGAGGAGCTAAACGCAATTGATTTTTTATATTGGAATTAGCACCATGAGTAAGTAATAGCTCGACAGTGGTAACATGCCCATAAAAGACAGCAACATGAAGTGCCGTACTTTTTGGGTTCTCCTGTAATTGTGCATCAATGTCCGCACCGTGTTCCAAGAGCCATTTAGCCACCAGTGGTTGACCATATCGGCAAGCGTGATAGAGTAAACTTGTACCATGTTTATCATTGGCATTGGGTGAGTTACTACCGAAATGATAGCGAAACCACCAATCGACTCCTTTACGCGCCATTTCGAACATGTCTTGCTCACGGATATTTTCAAAGATTTTCATCATTGCATCACCATGTCGTCTTCCTTCCTGTTCGGCAATCATTCCCCATCGATTTTCCAGTCTAGCATTGCAACCACACTTGAGAAGGTAGTCAACAATTGGACAATGGCCACCATAGGCGGCGAGGTGCAAAGCAGAATTGAGATTATTATCGGTAATATCTAAGTTTGCTGAATGTTTTTCAACAAATAAACGAACTAAATCTTCATATCCCTTCTTGCTTGCACAATGCAATAGAGTTTGTCGTTGAGAATAATATTCTTCGTCGATATGTTTTCCCCATCCGTTTTTTCGTTCTTTAAACCAATTGATGTTGTTTGCAGCGGCTTGTACAAACGGTGATGTTTTCAATTCTTCGAAAACTTCTTTTACAGCACTATTTGCTGCTTCTTTTTCAGGCACATTACTATAGCAGTTTATCACAGCATAACTGGCACCACTTTCTAACAAGAGACGAATCACACCTGCATGTCCATAAAAGGAAGCACCATGAAGTGCCGTACTTTTTGTACGTTGTAATAAGTCAGCTTCGGCACCCTGTTCAGTTAGATAAGATACTGCTTCTTCATTGCCACTACGCGCAGCACTATACAAGGTTGTATGACCTGTAGTTGAATCTTGAGCGTCGATTTCTTGCAGTGTAGCATTCTGAAATCGTTCCTTTAGCACAGACAACAGATCGGGTTCAACAGCGAGTTGTTGTGGCGTGTATTGGTCGATCGGTAAGTCTTGAACCCAATTATTTTCTTTTTGGTAAAGATCGAACTTTTGATCAATTGTAAGAGTTTCGTAAGCACGACAAACCAGTCGATATTCCTCAGCAGATATTTGACCTTGCTTGTATTGGTGAATTTTTTCTCGATATGGGATACGTAATTCATTACGTTTGATGTTTTCAGAGACCCCTAGTATTTCGTAAGGTGTTCTTAGCATGACAACATTTGCTACTCAGTTTATAAACTGATCAGTGATTTACATTTGACGAAAAGAACGCCAATGCAAGCAGCAAGCGTTTTTTTTTCTTTTTGATAAAGACTTTTTTCTCCCTTTCTGTGCAGCACATGTTGACGTGGAGTCTGTTTTCAACATGTATAAATATTTGTCTAGCATTACTAGAGTATGAGTCTTATTTGATTCGATGTATTGTGAGTGTTGACTGAATGAATCATATATTGATTTTCATGGGACACTGGAAGATGGAATTTTTTCCCTGTAGTTTTCTTCTTTCATAAGGATTTTAGTACGAGTAGCGTGTGCTTAATTTGTGTATCTGACCATGCTTGTCTGCGTGATGTAGGTGCGGGTTTGAGTGTTGATTTAGATGTGCGATTGAATGGATGTATATGTGAGATGTAGGTGGATGTGGCTGCGGCTGTGGGTGAATGATGCGTGAATTCGTCACGCACAGTCGTATTCACGCTATTTTTCCTTTATTAAAGAATTATCCTATGTTATTCAAGTGATGATAAACTGATGATAACACTGGTCACATGAAAACAATGTAAGACTCCCTTCGACGATACGGTATTAGTCAGGTCTGTGCGAAGTTATTTGATAATTTTTAATATCCTTTTTAAAGTTAAAAAAAGTGGATAAGGAGAAAAAATTTTTCGGGTTCAGTTTGAATATATTAAATGCTATATGAACAGGACTGACTTGTTTTAGATGTTAGTTTTAGAAAGTTTAGAGTAATCTCAACCTATGAGTGATTGAATGCTACCAAAGTGTAAATCTCAATGACTCCTTAACCAAAATAATAATTTATCTATAAAATGTCATTCCTATTGCAAATTTTTCTGCATGTGTTACGATAGCTTTCTAAAAGATATTAACTTAATAGAATTAATATCTTCAGTATCGGAATGTTGCTTTTATTTCAAAATTCAACAATGTTTTATGTAAATCAGTTAGCGCTTGAGGGTGTGAGTGAATGTGAAGAGAATGGACAACCATGCGCACCCCCACACAGGAGCAATTCTTTTTTACTAATCAGTATTATTTGATTTCTTATGTATTTATAGTAGCTGACATCCGAAAAGGAGTTAATGGTTGAAGAAGGTCAACAAGCTGTATTGGCATGTGATTTTATTTTTGGACAAGAAGCTGAGTATGGGTTTCAGGATGAATGAAGGGTAGTATATTAAACACACCAACACCGTATCAATAATATTAATACGAGTAATAATAAATCAACAACTGTAATGAACAAAAAAAAATCAGTCGCGGTCGACAGAGAAATGAAACATTACAAAAAGGTCAAAATAAACTAATAATTCATGATTATATCTTTTGCATCAAGCAACAGCGTCTATTGACGCTAACAATGACGATGGTATCATAGACTTCGTATTTTTCAGAATTACGATGAGAAGCCTTTGAATCGAATGCAAATTTCGGACATAAAATTGAAATTCTATCATATCACAGGTTAGACATCTGTCCATGGCACTGAAGCCGTCATTTTTTGTTCTGTGGCAGTCATCTTGTTTATCTGATTTTTGAACGCTATTCTGTATTTAAAAGATTTCGGGATGATCTAATTATTCTTTAATACAGGAGAATAATAATCAAAATAAGGCGACAACATGCAATCAACCATTGCAGCACAAAGAACAAGGAATTGATCAGACCACTCGTTACGTTAAAATGAAGCAACGCCATATAGATATTTTGTATGTACAGTATATATGTTAAATAATTCTTTGTTTGAATCTTTCCAGTTTCAGTCTTTGAATAATGAATTACTGAAAACAGCATATGAAAAATCATATCTAGCACTTTATTTGTTTGTGTTAGACGAGTATGATAAGCATCAAAAAGAGAATTCAAAGTTTAGCATCATGAGACCATCGAAGCAAGCCAAAATGAGGGCTAAAGTCAGATGCTGCCATGCATGATTAAATGAGCTTCGCACTACATTTGCATTTAAGGAATAATGTAGTGCCAAAATCGAGATGATTCGAAGGCATAGTTGCAACCACTATTGATTGTAAAATTTTGTGATTATTTATTATATTGAAGAGTCAATTCTTGTATCGATTATGATTTGATAAACTACGAGTTGTGTTCGAAGATAATACGAATAATCGATTATTAGACACGAAAATCGAGAAACAATAATCAATGAAATATGAAAATTCTCATGCCAAATGGACAATATGTTGTTCTCGTCGCCACCATAAGATTCGACTCTTCACTTTATCACGAAAACGTGACGATGAAAACATGAAAAGATAGAATCGTCCCTAAAAGACAAGACAAAAAAAGAATGGACACTTTAGTTCGCGAAATACTTACTCCATAAGTAACTGAGCCAAAAAAATAAGTGATATTAGCAGCAAGGGCTTCTTTAGCTATTTGATCAACATTCTTTTGAATATCAATCGTAATAAGTGCATAAACAGAATATACAGTGTATGGGATAAGACCAACAAAAGTTAGCAAAACTTGAGTGAAAACTATGATTATCAATTGTCGATCGGCATGCAAACGGGCGAGAGCAGCCGGTTTTTTTATATTTCGATAAGCTAAAATTCCAAATATTATCATAATTGCAATATGCATACCACAGAGAATAATACAGATGAATGCTACTGTATAAATAAAAGAGGCTGTATTAGTATAAATACAAACGCCTGTAATTGGTGACATGTCCTGAAAATATAACCAAAGAGTACCATGAAGCCACCAGATAATAACAGCAGACAAAGAAACTCGATATGCATTTTTCATATTGCTCAATTGACGATGCCGGACCTTTTGCGATGTGACTAGATATTGATCAATAGTAGCCAAACATTCACAAGTCAAATGAATGGCACTAAGTCTCTGGAGGACATCATCTAGAGACAGCTACATTCTATTAATCAGTGAAACCCGGTGACGGGAAGCGCGCAGCATCCTTATCCGGACTGGCTGAGCGATCGAGTGCCGAATCTCGGCAACCTATTGCAACTAGAAGTCGTCGTGCAGTTGCCCCAGCAGTAATTGTCGATACTTCTAGCCAAGATCAAGGTCCTAGTGCTGGCATTCATGTGGCTCCTACACCCACTCGTCGGTTCGAAAATAGCACTCCGCATGGAGGAAAAGGACCGAGTGGTGACAAACCCGCTGGATCGGGGAAGGCATCAGTTTGGTCAGAAGAGGAAATTGAAAAGCTAAAGCGATTAGTTCCAAGCAATGTCACACCCTCTGGTACGATATCTTGGAATGACGTCGAAAAAGCTTGGATAGATCTGAATCTGCCCAAAAGGACTAAGGCAGGCCTTAGCAGCAAGTGGCGGGATATCAAGACCAAATCCGCCAGTGTGAGTGTTAGTGATTCGTCTTTGACACAAAAGAAGACGAAATTGCATTTGAAAGTCGTTACTATTCCATCTGACACTACTGTAGATGTTAACCACAACGCCGGTAGTAATAATAACGATGTAAACCCTACAGTCGTAAAACCAGATCAGTGCGTACCGGCTGATTTGGCTGATGATGTTGTTAACTCAACCTTCAGGAAAGAATATAAAAAGGCACAAAAGATAGGATGTCGGATGACGTTGAGAAAAACGCCACTAAGAGTCTCCGGCAAGCATATTAAGCTTATCATCTGCGAAGTTAATCGACTGATAAAAAGTGAGTTAGATTTGGTAGTAGGTGGAATATCTTGGAATCAGTTGTCAAATCTAGTTTACGCTGGTGCGATGACAGTTTCTAAGATAGGAAACCGAAAATGTCTTGAAAAACAACAACGATCAAGAGAATGGTTTAAGATCACATATAGTGAATGTGAGAATTTGCGCCGCGTCATCGGTAAAGCTACTAGTGAGTTAAATAGACGGGTGAGAAGTGCGGAAGTAGCCCTTACAAGTAAGCAGCTTTCTATTATCAAGATGCTTAAAAAGAAATATAAGGTGGAGTCACGGGCTGAAATAACATCTCTTGTAGAAAGATTGAAGTGCAGACTTCAACTTCTACAATCGCGAATAGCATTAAGGAAAGCAGATGAAGAACGTGTACGCGTTCGTCAGATGCCGGCTAAGATGCTATTCCGAGGCACGTGTACTGATTCAGAACCAGTTGATATCCATCAGATCAGAAAGTTCTGGAAAGAAATTGTAGGGGTGAAAAAGTCTTTTAACTCGAAGAGTCCACGGCTAGTAGCATGGGAACAATCGATGTCAAATATTCAGGGAGAGACTGATCTTAAAGGTCGATTGAACCCTGAACTTTGGCAGAAGGTTGTTCAAAAGATAAAACCATGGAAAGCACATGGTCCAGATAAGTTGCAGGGGTACTGGTGGAAAGTCTTCGATTCAGCCAATGCAACACTTTATGATTTAACTCTTCATCATATCTTATCTGGCGAACCCTTACCGCAGAGGTGGATAACCGATGGACATATAGTACTCATACATAAATCCGGATCTAGGTCTGATCCCGCGAACTTCAGACCTATAGCTTGTTTAAACATCTGCTACAAGCTAGTAACAGGTTTTATAGCCGCATATTTAGATCAGTATGTGAGGGGGCGAGATATACTGAACAACGAGCAAATAGCATTACGTCGGGGTGTGTGGGCTTGCTCACATGCTCTCACTCTTGACCAAACGTTAATAGCAGACGCACAGGATCAGAAGCAGAGACCTATTAGCGTAGCTTGGATAGACTATGCAAAGGCATTCGACAGTCTGCCACATAGTTATATCAAATGGCTGCTCAAAGTAATGCAAGTTCCTGACCTGTTACGAAAGTTTTTGAAAAGCGTCATGAATAATTGGAGAGTACGATATGAAGCGAGAAGTCCTAGGGGTAAGATAGAACATAGTAATTATCTAAGGATTCGTTCCGGAGTTCTTCAAGGAGATAGCTTCAGTCCCTTGTTGTTCTGTCTAGCGATGGCTCCCATCAGTCACGCAATAAATAGTGTTAAAGGTGGCTATAAC